ACTTTGTATAAGAAGAAAGGAATTAAATCAGATTGCTCAAATTACCGTGGTATTACTCTGCTCTCCATTGCAGGCAAAATCCTGGCAAGAATACTCTTGAACAGACTAATACCTGCTATAGCTGAAGAAATTCTACCTGAAAGTCAGTGTGGTTTCAGAGCCAACAGGAGCACCACAGACATGGTATTTGTCCTCAGACAACTGCAAGAGAAGTGTAGGGAACAGAACAAAGGTCTCTATGTAACCTTTGTCGACCTCACCAAGGCTTTTGACACTGTGAGCAGAAAAGGTCTGTGGCAGATTTTGGAACGTTTAGGTTGTCCCCCCAAGTTCCTTAAAATGATCATCTCACTCCATGAGGATCAGCACGGCCAAGTCAGATATGGCAACGCACTTTCTGAGCCCTTTCTAATAACTAATGGTGTGAAACAAGGCTGCGTTCTTGCTCCTACCCTATTCACAGTCTTTTCCAGCAGGATGCTCCAAAGGGCCACGGCAGACCTCGAGGATCAGGATGGTATCTACATTCGATACCATACTGATGGAAGTCTATTCAACCTAAGGCGTCTGAAGGCCCACACCAAGACCTTAAACCATCTTGTCCGGGAGCTGCTTTATGCTGACGACACCGCCCTTGTCGCCTACACAGAAGCAGCTCTGCAGCGTTTAACATCCTGCTTTGCAGATGCTGCTGAGCTCTTTGGGCTGGAAGTCAGTCTAAAGAAGACAGAAGTTCTCTATCAACCTGCACCTCAGGAAGTCCCACATCATCCCCACATCACCATTGGCCAATCAGAGCTCAAATCAGTCCAGCAGTTTAATTACCTAGGCAGCCTCATCTCCTCGGATGGTGAGATTGACGGGGAGATGGACAACAGGTTAGCAAAGGCATACAGTGCTTTTGGAAAACTCCATGAAAGAGTTTGGCGAAATAAACACCTGAAGAAAAGTACCAAGATCAGTGTTTACAGAGCCATAGTGCTGTCTATGCTCTTATACGGGTCTGAACCATGGGTCATCTACCGCCACCACCTGCGACTCCTGGAACGCTTCCATCAACGCTGTCTCTGTTCAGTCCTAAACATCCACTGGTCAGATGATGTGACCAATCCATCTGTTCTAGAACAGGCAGCAGTCACAAGTATTGAGGCCATGTTGCTGAGAACACAGCTGTGCTGGGCAGGGCATGTCTCCAGGATGAAGGACCAACCACCGCCTCCCTAAGATCCTGCTTTATGGGGAACTTGCCACCGGCTGCAGCAAGAGAGGAGCCCCGACGAAAAGATACAAGGACTCCCTGAAACAACATCTCAGCCTTGGCCATACTGACCACCATAACTGGTCTACTCTGGCCTCCAATCGGAGGCCTGGAGACGGACCATCTATAACGCTGCTGATGCTTTTGAGAAAGCACGCAGGATCACCCTTGAGGAGAAAAGGCAACGCAAAAAGAATTGTGCCTTGCAGAATACACCATCTAAGGAGTCTTTCTGCTGTGCCTTCTGCAACCGGACATGCCTGTCTCGTATTGGCCTTTTCGGCCACCAACGCGCTTGCGACAAACGTGGGTAGAGCCCTTCCCAAATCTTCGTTCGCGAAGCCCAGCCATGAATATAATTGCTTCAATAATTGCTTCAATATAGTGCACTGTCCTATCTTACACTATACTACTAGTAGTTTTAGCCTTTATATTGTCTAGTAAATGATTCTGATTAAGATCTTTTGTCTGATCATTTGTTATAATAAATGATTCATTTTATATAAATATTCTCATTTGCCAATTATTAAAACCTGCGGGACAAAAGTGGTTCAATCACACCTCCGTAATTCCTTAAATTTAAACTGTTGACACAGTCCGAGGCTGAGATTGGATTCAGCTGCACCCAGGCTCTTCTCCAAGCAGGGGTTTAGGAAGCCAGGGAGTCCTTTCTGCCCCTTGGGACTCAAGGGCAGGACTTCTTAATAAATTTTGTCTAAGCCTCCGTGACACTGGGACCATGCTGGGAGAGACTGGGATCATGCTGGGACTATACTAGGGGCAACTGGGTGCAACAGGGATCACAGTGGGAGGAACAGGAAGCAACTGCAACCATGCTGGGGGCAACTGGGATCATACTGGGATTGCACTGTGAGCAACTGGGCCCATGCTGGGGGAGACTGGGATCACAATGAGACTGACTGGGACTACACTAGGGGCAACTGGGAAGACACTGTGAGGAACAGGGAGCAACTGGAACCATGTTGGGGGCAATTGGGATCACACTAATGGTGACTTGGATCATACTGGGAGTGACAAGGAGCATGCTGGGGGCAACTAGGACCATGTTATGGGCAACTGGGATATAGTGGGAGCTTGAGGTGATTGGGGTCATACTGGGAGTGACTGGGACCACACTGAGGGTGACTGGATTTGACTGTGAGCAACTGGGATCATGCTGGAAGCAACTGGGAGTGACTGAGAGGATGCTGGGGGTGACTGGAACCACAGTGGGGGTGAAAGGAAGCAACTGGAACCATGTGGGGGGCAACTGGGCTCATACTGGGAGAAACTGGGAGTGACAGGGACAGTACTGGGACTACCTGGCAGTGACTGGGATCATACTGGGGGTGACTGGCAGCATCTGGGACCATGCTGGGAGCAAATGGCATCACACTGCAAGTGACTGGGTTGATACTGGGAACAAATAGAACCATGATGGAGGCAACTGGGATCATACTGGGAGTGACTGCAAGTGACTGGCATCATACTGGAATCATACGGGGAGTGGCAGTGGGCAGTGACTAGGATCATACAGGAGGTGACTGGGATCATATTGGCATTGACAGAGAGCAACTGGGATCATATTGGGGCAACTGGAATCATACTGGGAGTGACTGGGATTATAGTGGGTGTGAATAAGACCTTAGTGGGGGTTACTAGGAGCTACTGGGATCATGCTGGGAGCCAACTGGGGACACACTGGGAGCAACTGGGATCAACTGGCAGATACTGGAATGATGCATGGAGTACTAAGACCACAGTTGGGGCAACTGGGATCATACTGAGAGCAACTGGGGCCACACTGGGAGTGTCAGTAACCATACTGGTGGTGAATGGGACAACATTGGGAGTGACTATGTTTACACTGGGGGCAACTGGGAGTAACTGGAACCCTGTTGGGGGGGACTGGGATCATACTGGACTCATACTGGGAGGGACTGGCACTATGCTGGGGGAAACTGGGACCATAGTATGTGCAAGTGGGATGTAGTAGCGGGCTTATACTGGAGGTGACTGGGCTCGTACTGGGAGTGACTGGGCTCTGGGAAGCGCAAGATGGGGAGGAGGAGAAGCGCAACCCCTCCCACTGCTCTGCATTGCCAAAATCCTTGTTCCCAGTTCCCACTCTGGCCCTGACCAGCAGATCCGCTCTGGGATCCCTTTCCCTGCCACTTCCCAGCCCTCTGCCCGCCTTCCCGCCACTGGAAATCTGCACTTTGGAACCTCATCCCATTGTTTCCTCCTTCTCTTCCCTATTATTGTCAGGGTCCCCCTGCACCCCGTTTTCTCAGGCACTGGGAACCCCTGGCCATTCCCGGTTTTCCAGCCCCCAGACCCCTCTTTCTTTGACTCCAAGATCCCCCTGCCCTCCTTTCCTGGCCTTCCTGCCTCTCCCAGTCCCTGAATCCCCCTTTTCCTTGAGCCCGGGGACCATGGTCCCTCATTCCCAGCCATCCCAGGTCACCTCACCCTCAGCCTCCCCTTTCCTTGACTCCAGGACCCCCTGGAGCCCCTTCCCAGCTCTCACAGCTCTCCCAGTTCCCCTCTTTTCTTGACCCTGGGACCTCCCAGATCCCCAGATCTCCATGTCTCCCTAGTTCCCCACTCCTGGCGCTTCCTGCAGGGGGGTCCTGGGGTATCCCACGACCCCCTGGACCCCCCATTCCTGTGCACCGAGACCCCCCCCAAACTCCCTTGTCTGAGACTGGGACTCCCTGCACCCACTTCCCTGGCTCCAGGACATTCCTGCTCCCCCTTTCCTGGCCATCCTGCTTCTCCCAGACTCCACAATCCCTTTTCCTTTATCTTGGGACCCCTGGACCCCCATTCCTGGGCATCAGGACCCCCCTGCACTCCCTTACCCAGCACTAAGCCCCCCTTGAGCCCCTTTTCCCAGCCATCCCACCTCTCCAAGCCCCCAAACCCTCTCTTTTCCTTGACCCTGGCACACCCTGGACCCCCATTCCTGACTCTCTCAGTCCCCAACCCCTCCTTTCCTCAACACTCAGGACCCCCTGAACCCCCTTCCCACACATCCTGGGTCTGCCCATCCAATGAACCATCTTTCCCTGACACTGAAGGCCCCTGGACCCCACTTTCCTGGGCACAGGGATCCTCTGGTCCCCCTATCCCTCCTCTCCCCACTGTTAGTCCTGCCTTTTCTTGACCTTGGGACCCACCTGATCCCCCATTCCCAGGCACTGGGACCTTCCTGCACTCCCTTCCCTCGCTCCAGAACCCCCCTGGAATCATACTGCCTTATCCTGCACCAATCCCTACCTGCACCTCCTTTCCTGCCTATCCCACCTCTCCCTGATCCCAGACTCCCTTTTTCCTTAACTCTTGGACTCCACTTGATCCCCATTCCTCCCTTTCTGAGACCCCCTTTGCTTCACATCAGGGACCCCCTGAGACCCTTCACAGCCATCCCCTGTCTCCCCACCTCGTGACCCCCTCTCTCTGACACCAGGGACCCCCGGATCCCCCTTTTCTGGGCACAAGGTCCCCCTGGACCGCCCCATCCCACGTCTCCAAGCCCACTCATCCTCTTTTCTTCGAAATCCCCTTCCCCAGCACCGTGTCCCCCCCGCACCTCCTTATCCTGCACCAATACACCCCTGCACCCCCTTTCCCGACCATCCCACCGCTCCTCACCCCCGGCCTCTCCCGCCTTGACTCTGGGACCACCCCCAGCCCCCCCAAGCCCCCGTGTCCCCCCAGTGCCCCCTCCCTGCGTTACCTGTTGGCGGCGGGGTCGGAGCCCGGCCCGGGGCTCCCCCAGTTGGCGGCCGGTCCGGCGGGGCCTGCAGGAGCCGCGGAGGCCGCGGATGGGCGGGAGCGGGAGAAGGGAGGGAGGGAGGAGGAGAGGGAGGTGGGGTCTGGGAGGAGCCGGAGCCGCAGGAGCGGAGAGAAAAAGAGAAGGGGGAGGCAGGGGCGAGACGGGGGCGCAGCAGGAGCGGGAGGAGCAGCGTGAGCGAGGGCGGAAGGAGAGGCCGGGAGGCCGCAGCTCCCCGCCCGCATCGCTCAGGTGAGCGCGGGGCTCGTCCCCAGGATCTTGGACAGTCTCTGGGTTTGTTGTGTTTTTGGGGGGAGGGGATGTCTGGAGCTTGGAGGACTCTAAAGCTGAGCCGCAAATGCCCTGGGGGGATATTGGGGGTCCCCGGGAGGTGTTTTTTTGCGGGTCTCGGTGGCGGTTCCCGGCAGAGCCGCGGTGATGGGTGGGGGATGTGAGGTGTCCCCCCCCGCGGTGGGGGTTGTTCTTCCTGGGTCAGGCCCTTCATTGCCAGCCCAGAGCACGGAGAGGGAGCACCCCTGGGACCCTGAAACGGAGAGCCCGTACACGAGGGACCGCCGAGACCCCCTTCAGCCTGGAGAGGGGGGGGACACAGGAGAGGGGAGACCCCTGGGATACTGAAGTAGGGAGCCCAGAGAGGGGGCAACCCAGGATTCCCTGGACCCCCGGCAGCCTGGAGAAGGGGGAGCACAGGAGAGGGGGAACCCCTGCGAACCCGGCACCCCGAAGCAGAGAGTCAGGGGAGAAGGGACCCCTGGGACTCCCAAAACCCCCAGCATCCTTAAACGGGGGGCTACAGAGAGGGGGGACCCCAGGACTCCAAAGTGGGGAGACTAGAGATGGGGGACCCCTGGGATTCCCAGGACCCCTGGCAGCCCAGAGAGGGGGGACCCCCAGAACACACAGGACCCCCAACAGCCTGGACATGGGGGACCTCCAGAACCCCAGAGAGGAGAGACCAGAGAGAGGGGAACCCTGGGAGGGTTTTTTTAGGATGAATCTTGGTGGTTTGGGCTGAGTCTTGGGAATGCAGAGGACATGGTGCTGGGGAAGGGAGTTTCCAGACGATCCAAGGGTGAAGGGGGATGCAGGGACTTGGAGAAGTGGGATGGGGAGTCCAGGGGAAACAGGGCATCTAGAGGGTCCTCCTGTCCAGGAAAGGATGGTCCAGTAGTCTGCAGTGTCAGGGAAAGGTGGTTCACAGGATGGGGAGACCTGGGATGGCTGGGAAGGATTCAGGGAGTCCATGGTGTGAAGGAAGGGGGCTCTGGGAAAGGCAGGAATGCAAGTCCAGGGGGTCCCAGGGTCAAGGAAAGGGGGAGCCTGGGGGCTGGGAGAGGTGGGATGGGCAGGAAAGGGAGTAAAGGGAGGTATTGGGGCAGGATAAGAGGATGAAGGGGGGTTGGAGCTGGGGAAGGGGGTGCAGGTGGGTCCCAGTGCCTGGGAATGGGGGATCAGGTGGGTCCCAAGGTCAAGAAAAGGCAGGACTAGGGGTGGGAATAGGACAGATGTGGGGTCCAGGGTGTCCCTGTGCCCAGGAAAGTGGAGTCCAGGGGCCTCCAGTGTCAGGGAAAGATGGTTCACTGGGTGGGGAGACCCAGGATGTGTGGGAAGGAGGTTCAGGGGGTATTGAGGAAAGGAGTTGGGGACTGGGAGAGTCAGGAATGGGGGTTGAGGGGGTGTCAGGGTCAAGGAAAGAGGGAAACTGGGAGAGCTGTGAGAGCCGGGAAGGGGCTTTGGGATGTCCCAGGGTCAAGGAAAGGGGAAGCTGGGGGTGAGGTGACATGGGATGGCCAGGACTGGGGGCTTGGGTGTCCCCGCAGTCAAGGAAACAGGGGGATCCAGGGACTGGGAGAGGTGGGATGGTCAAGAAAGGGGGGGCGAGGGGATCCTGAAGTCAAAGAAAGAGGGGTCTGGAAAACCGGGAATGGCTGGGCAGGGAGGTCCCAGGCCAAGGGGAGCAGGAAGAGGAGGAAGAACACCTGGTGGGGGCTGCCGAGATCCCTGGAGTGGGGAGAGTGGAGAGGGGCGATACGGGAACTGGGGGAACCCCAGCAACCCCAGCAACGAGGCAGGGGGAACCTGCAGAGGGAGGAGGCTCGGGAGTTCAGGAACCCTGAAATGGGGGCCTGGAGTGGGGGTATCCTTGGGACCCCCAGGACCCTGAAGTGAGGAGCCTGGAGATGGAGGAGTCCTGGGACCCTGGCAGCCCGGATAAGGGGACCCAGAGAAAGGGGAGCTCACAGAAGGGAGACCACTGGCAACCTGGAGGTGGGGACAGCTCTGGGACAATGAAGTGGGAGCCCAGAGAGGGGGGACCTCTGGGATTCCCTGCACCCCCATCAGCCTGCAGAGTGGGAGACCCCAGAGAGGCAGGAACCCTGGGATCCCCAGCACCGCAAAGCAGAGAGTCAGGGGAGAAGGGACCCCTGGGACCCCTGAAAGCATCCCTAAGCAGGGGGACCCTGGAGGGGGAGCAAATCCAGGACCCCCAGCAGCCCAGAGAAGGTGGTCATCCCTCAGAACACCAAAGTGGGAAGACCAGATAGGGATCCCCAGCAGCCCAGAGAGGGCGGGGACCCTGGAAAGGTGAGACCCCCAATACACACGGGACCCCCAGCAACCCCAACAGGGGGGACCCCCAGAACCCCAAAGTGGAGAAACCAGAGAGAGGAAACTCTGGGGAGCATTTTCTGGTCTGAATCTTGGAGTTCTGGGTTTTTTGGGGGGCTGAAACTTGGTATTTAGGAGGTTTTTATGGGCACAGGATGCCTGGTGACTTCTAGAGATGGACTTGGGCAGGAGGAACCCCCAACCCAACGGGCTTACACCCTGTTTTTCCCACCAAAACAGGATTTCTCATTCCCAAACCTTGGCTGGATGGAGGAGGAGGCTGTGAGGAAGAGGAAGATGCCCCAGGACACCCAGACAGGTGAGGAGGAAGTCAGTGCCCCTTTCCTCCTCTGTTGTCCTGCATCTTCCAGCTGAGTATCGCCCCTGGCTGCAGGACAACCTCGCTGCTGACCTGCCAGGGATGGATTTGAGGGGATCTCCTTCCCCTTCCCCTTCTCTCTCTGGGCTGGAACAGATGAACAGGAGTGTCCAGTCCCATAGGCCGAGATGACACAATGAATCTCTGCAGTTCCTGCAAAGTAGAACCTAAACCGTTAAACAATTTTGCTGATTAACCTTCCCTTATGTGAATAGGGAGCATGTTGTTTTCCGTCTTGGATTGTACGTGGATCTTTAATATGGCCATAGACAAGGCCTGAACCCACATCATAGATGTTTCTTGACAAACCCTGTTTATTTGTGCTTTGTGAGTCGATGAAGTATGACTCTCTGTCTGATGACAATCTCACAGGAACCCCAAATCTTGGAATTCCTGCATCTTTACTGTGTGAGAGGAACTCAAGCTTTTATCACATAAAGTGATTAACTGCCAGTCAGAGATCTATAGGCCAGTTAGGAGCTTACCAGCAGCAGGCTGTGTCTGAATGCAACACCAAACAGCACCCTGGCAGTGCCAGTAGCTCACCACAGAGAGCTTGCACTCTCTGGACAGATTCCAGACCTTACTGAGGGGACAGGCCATCCCACCACAGTCTGCCCCAGACTGCAGTCGATCATCTTTACCTCATGGAGTGATAGTGCAGGTACCTCTTGCCTGCATGGGTAAAAGCATCCTCATGTATTGGGTCAGGTGCACTCATGGATATGTGAACACCAACAAAACAGCTGTATTACAATAAAGCTAGGGAGCAATCTAAGGAAACCATTTAAGTGATCTAAACAAATCATCCCAACAACGATGTTACCACTTTGTCTCAAAGATTGCAGGCAAGATGCAAGTCAGGTCTCAGGGTCCCATGGGAGAGTCCACAGAACCAGTGCTGTTGCAGTGCTGCAGCCGCCTTCTCATCCCCCTTTCTGTCCTAACGCAGGACTTTTCTTCTGTGAAAGTCAGCTTTCACACACTCCTAAATGACACTGGATAAGAAAACATTTTAGAGGCATAAGGTACATAAATTTGATCTCACAATCCCATGAAATCCTATGTGGATTTTCCTACCAAACCATCCCTTCAGGAGGAATCCCTTTCACAGGCTGCAGTAGCCAGAGACACAGATATTCCAAACAGCATTTACAAACTGCTGTTAAACTGCTGGGACAGAACATATACAAATATGAACATTGCAAACTTTAAAGCAATCAGTGTAGCAAAAGCAATATAAGCTTTCAATTCTTCTGTAATTAAAATAACAGAGAAGCCTAAAAGAAACATAGAACAGATGACAACAAAAACAAATACAATGGTCATGGCACTGTCTGGTGTTCTGACAGTATTATTCAAATTGCAGTCTGATTCTTGTATATGCACCACCTTTGGAGATCATAGGCTCATCTTACAACAGTTCTTAGCCATGTCAGAAGCCTTTCCTTATTGGTCTTTCTTGTTTACTTACTCCTGACCCATTTCAGGAATTCTTATTACAGTCCAAAACCTCTTGTCTTGGTGTGTCTCACTTGCAGTTGTTCAGGCCTTTGTTCACTTCTGCATAAAAGCTGTTTCCATCCATATCACTTTCAGTCTGAGTTCTGGTGGCACAGTTTCCAAGTCTGTCTGCTGAAATGGACTTTCTGCAAACAGTCAACTTGACACATTGTTAGTTCACATTGAGAGCAAAACAGTGCCCCCCTTTTGATTTTGCCACAGCCCCCCGGAGCTCAATCAGGGCACAGAGGGCAGGAACATTCACAGGCTGTGAGCCTGAAACAGGCCCAGAGCACACAGGGGCCAATATAGGTAGCTCTTCTTCCCCCCCCTTTTCGTGTCAGCCAGTCCAGCGGGCAGGGGCGGGCCCACGGCGGTGGCCGCCCGGTCCGTGGGACAGTGCCGGTCCTTCAGCCTTCGGTACCGCGTCCGTTCCTGCCGGGCTCCACTGGGAACCCCCCCGCAGTTCACCACAGGGACGGGCCAGACCAAGTCTCGGGCAACCTTCCCTTCTGACCTTTCCTTTTCGCTGGTGTAAAAAATATCTTGCCCAGTTTTCGACTGCTCCTGGGCTCTGTTGCTATAGCAACGACCGCGAGCCAGGAGCTCGAGCGGACCGGTGGGGGTGGGGTGGGGGGGGGGGGGGGGGGTGGGGCGGGTGGGGGGGGGGGGGGGGGGGGTGGGTTGCCTTTTCCCTCCCCGAGACAGAGCCGGCCGGCCCAGGCGGCGGCTCCGCCCGCAGCGGCTTCGGGGGTCCGAAACTGGGCTTCCCAAGTCTATGGGGGAAAACCGAGGGTGTCGGGGGAGAGTGGGGGCGATCGAGCCGCCCTCGGTAACCAAAGCGACCGTTTCGCCGCTCACTGCAAAAGCGGTGACTTCCCCCGGAGGGTCGGCGGCGGTGCCGCTTGTGACAGCGCCGCTTGCAGCAGCCGTCGCTCCATCTCCGCTTGCCGCAGCACAAGCGGCGGCTTCGCTTGTAGAAGGCGTTTTGCCTACAGAGGCGGAGAGACCTGGCGCGAGGGGGCAGCGGCAGCATTCGGAGTCTCCCCCCTTTTGAAACAGGAGTGGCAGCAGCTCTGGCGGGGGCAGCTTCCTCCCTGTCTGCCACGGGCATCTCGCCCCCGGCTGCGAACGGCCGGGGCAGCGGAGTCAGCGCTGACAGCGGCGGAGAGGCCGGGGCGGGGGGGCCAAGGGCCGAGCGGGGGTGCTCCCGCTCCCCTCCCGCCGCAGCTGCTCCTCGGCCACGCCGCTCTCGCTCACAAGTGCCTCCAGCATCTCCAAGACGGGCAGGTGTGGGCAGCGGCGAAATCGAGTCCGGGGCTGAGCTGCATCAGGTCCCGACCCAGCACGGTCGAGATGTGGTAGACATCGGCGGCTATCAGCTGGAACGGACTCTTCTCCAGAGCCCTCTTCGGACTACCATCGATATCCTCCATTCCGGAGGATTTAGAAAAGCCAGAAAAAAACTGCAGCTAAAATTTCCAGCATGGGATTCAAACCCGTGGCGCTCTGGATTACCAAACGGGCTTTACTTTCCACACACCAAAAGCGACTTCAGGCCAGGGCAGGGTATTTTAAAGTAGAAAGGCGTCCCTTTCCTTCCGGCTGTGCCAAGCCCCCTGAGTAACCACAGCACTACGGTCCACTGTCTACTGTCCCTGCCTTGTCCGAAGCTGTGCCAGGGGGGTCCTCCACCTGCACCCCCTTAAGCATCCCAGGCCAGTCAAATTGCCCATCCAGGCGAAACACTTTTCACCCACAGACTGGGAAAACACCGACTTTTGCAACAACAGGGGCCCAAGTCTCACTTCCCAGCCCCACTGTATTCCCAATTTCCAGAGAAAACCCCACTTTATAATTGCTAGCAAAATTACCCAAAGGACCTGCTCTTTTATCTCACCCTTGATTGTTAGAAGCTGGGGCTTCTCAAGGTCACTGCAGGAATTCTCCAAAATGTGCTGGCAGAAGAAGAATTTCCTGCAGGATAAAATTTTCCAATCCAGAGTCCCAGGTGTTCCAGGGTGCTGGATTTCAATTTCCGCATTTCAGACACCAAACTGTTGCCTAAAAGACCGTGGAGAAAAAGACTCCAGGCCAATTTAGTGTAGGAGATAAGATAAAGAGAGTAGGTCCTTGTCCTAGTTAGAACAGCTGGGACCAGCTCATTACTGTGTGGGTGTAACCCAAAACTGTGTATTCTACATCCTCTATGCCATTTCCCAGGAACTGTTAACAATAGACCATTTGCAGCAGCTGCCCAGAGCACACCTGACCCCTCAGGCTATAAATTGGGTGTTAAGAGGCCTGTGAGATAGGAGGATGCTCCTGTCCTCACACCCATTGTGGAACTCCCTGACCTGAGGGAGGTACTGGGCATTCCTACCTGAACCTGAGGATATATAATCTTGGGGTCTTGGGACTTCTAGTACTACTCATGGGATCCAGAGAAGGACCAGAACCTTGACCGGACTGTAACCACCACTCAACCAGACTGAGACCACCACTCTCAACCAGACTGAGACCACCACTCTCAACCAGACTGAGACCACCACTCTCAACCAGACTGCCACCATCACTCGCACCAACAGTTTTTTTGTGGGAAATAGGGCCTAGAAAAAACCGTACCTTTGCAGAGAACCTTACCTTTGCAGAAGTGGCTCATTACAGGGGTAAGCTGCAACTCCTAAAAATGCCATTTCAACTCCTATTTCAACTGCCACCACTGTTTCAACTGCCATGACAGGTAGCAGCCAATCAAATGCTGCGGTCACAGATTTTACCTTATTAGGTATGATTATCTATTGGTGTTGGGTTATAAAAGGAGGGCTGCTACTCCAATAAACTTGTCTCAGCTACACCCCCCTGAGTCCGTGCCTCAATACACCACAGTTTTTCTCCTCTCCTTTTACTTTTGGACTTGGAGAACCACATGGGGTTCAGCACAGGAGCCAACGAACAACATCCTGTTCGTGCCCCATGGTGCCGAGTTATACATCTGGGGTTTTGTGAGCTAAAACCAATTGTTTGTCTGTGTAATTGTATTCATTGTATTATTTTTATTAAATTGTTATTCTGATTTATAATCTCTCTTGAGTTGGGTTCATTTCCCCTGCTGGTTTACCTTTAAACCAGCACAGTCCTTTAATCTCGGGCCTGAGGCCCAGGGGATGCACCTGACACACGACTCTAGACAGTGGTTCTATGATTTTACAATAAGGTCCATCCAATCCCAGATTTGTCCACCCCCGGTTCTGCCCCCTGACACGCCCCTTTGGGAATTGGGTTTGGGGTCTTTGGGACCCCTTCTTTGCAGCACACACAGTTCTTGGAGTTCCTGCAGAGTTCTAGGCTCGAAGGTCGCTGTGTCTGTGTGATATCTTCTGGTCCAGGGCTTTGGTTGTTTTTCTCCAGTTCTACCTTGACAAGAAGACTAAACACGCTGAGGGAATTTAGAGGGATTGATCCGGAATGGGGTAAGAGAGTTGGGGATGTGTAAGTACTATGTTAAGGGTAAGGGATATAATACAGCTACATTAAAATCTACATTCACTACACAGCTGCTTCTAAAATCTACAAAAGCTAAAAAAAACCCCAAAAGCTCTGAGGCATCAAGGGACACAGGTCAGGAGCTGCCCCCCACCTCCCAGCACCCCACAGCAGGTTAGGAGCTCAGGGGCCCACCCTGGACCCTCCCTCTCTCATCCTCCTTTCCCATCCCTTTTTTGTGCTTCCAATAATTTGTCTTGGCTTCTCCTACTTTTCTTTCTTTCTCTCCTCTCTTTTGATTTTAGAAAATGAAGTTGGATTATCCTTTTGGAATCCAACATCTGGCCTCATTTGGGCCTTAACCTTGCTTGGGGTATCTTAGAACCCAATTCCTCCCCTCATTTGTGAGTCAAGGCAAACTTTGCCAAATATCACTCAAAATCCCCCTAATTTCACCCCCAAGCCCCTTAATTCCACTCAAAATTCCCTTAGTTCCACGTAAAATTCCCCTCATTTCTCCCCAAATCCCTGATTTCATCCTAAATCCTCTTAATTCTGTCACGACAAGGGAAGAGAGAGACGCTCAATATGAGAATCAGCAAGCTTCGTTTATTGATCACTGCTAACAGCTTAATATATGCTTTATAATTAGCTCATACATATTGCAAAGCTAAGCTCATTATTGGTTCTTGCTTAAAAGTTGATTCCGCCTTTACTCCCTTCTTTTGTTGACACAGGTGGCTCTCAGTTGCTTTTGTTTTGCTAATCACAACCTCCTGTTTACCAGCCAACTAGCACGTGCGAGGACACTGTAGCCTTGCCATGGCCTTGCTATCTCAGATTTTCTCATCGGCCTAGACAAGCTGTGTTCTATACTCTAACAGCTCGTCCATAGCTTTAGCCATATCCATATGTCCTTGTCCTGCTAGCCAATCCTCTACATAATTCCACTGAAGATCCCCTTAATTCCACCTAAAATCCCCCAAATATCACCCCAAATCTCTTAATTCAACCCCAAAATCCCATAATTCCAACTAACCCCTCAATCTCACGGGAATTCCCTTAATTCCACCCCAAATCCCCTTAATTTCACCTAAAATCCCCCTAATGTCACCCCAAATTCTTTAACTGTACCCAAAATTCCCTTAGACCCTTCTAAAATCCCCACAGTTTCACCTGAAGTCCCACTGATTTCACCCCAGATCCACAAGATTTCATCAAAAATCCCCTTAATTTCACACAACACCCCCTTAAGACGGCCCACCCCCCAATTTCACCTCAAATCGACTCAATTCACCTCAAAAGTCCCTGAACTCCACCTAAAATCCTCCAAAATCATAAAAAAACCCTAATTTCACCCCAAATCCACTTAATTCCACCCAAGATTCTCCTAATTCCATCCAAAATCCCCCCAATATCACCACAAATGCCCTTAATTCCACTTAAAATTCCCTTAATTTCACCTAAAATATCCCTAATTTCACCCCAAATCCCTTAATTCAACCCGAAATTCCCTTAATCCCTCCTACAATCCCCATAATTTCACCCCAAATCCCCCAGATTCCACCAAAAATTGCCTTAATTTCACACAAAATTCCTTTAATTCCACCTGAATACCCCTAATTTCACCTCAAATCTCCTGATTTTCATCTCATATCACAATGGTTCTACTCAAAGTTGCCTTAGCTCCACCTCAAATCCCCATAATTTCATCAAAATCCTCCTGATTTCACCCCAAATCCCTTTAATTCCAGTCAAAATCCCCTTAATCCCACCTAAAATCTCCATAATCTCATAAAAATCCCCAATTTCACCCCAAATCTCCTTAATTCCAGTCAAAATTCCCTTAATCCAACCTAAAATTTCCATAATTTCACCCCAAATCTCCGATTTCACCTCAAGTGCCCTTAATTCCACCCCAAATCCCCAAACTATCCCCCAAAATCCATTCATTCAATCCCCAAATCCCTTAATTTCTCCCCCCCAATCTCACCGAAATCTCCCTGATTTCAATCAAAACTCCCTGAATTCCACCTAAAATTCCCAAAGCCCCCTCCAGGCCCCCAACACAACCCTCCCTCCGGCCCCCAGAGCCCCCGCAAGCCCCCTTTAGTGATCCCCCAGAGCCTCCCTTTCCTATGGGGTCTGTCCTCCGAGGACTTGGGGGTCCAAGGGGGCACTTGGGGGTCAGAGAGGGAATTTAGGGATCCGATGAGGCATTATGGGGCACTTATGGGGCACTTAGGGGTCAGGGGAGGGAATTTGGGTGTCCAGGTGGGCACTGGGGAGGCACTTAGGGGTGCTGGGTGGCACTTCTGGGACAGTTTGGGGTCCAGGGAAGCACTTGGAGGACTCTTGGGCGTCTAGAGGGGCACTTGAGGAGGGTCAGGGGAGGGAATTTGGGGGCACTTGAGGGTCTGGGGGCACTTGGGGGGCTGCAAACCCCGCTACAATGGGGCTCCGTGGGGCCGCGGGGGGTGATGGGAGTTGTAGTCCCGGCTATAAATAGCGCTCTATGTGGCCGCGGTGCATGACGGGAGTTGTAGTCTCGGAAGGGACTAAAGTGGCTCTGGCTCCAGGCCCCTCCCCAACTCCCCCTTCTCGGACGCGGATTGGCTGCGGGCTTTGACGGGCGGGCACTGCGACCAATGGGAGGCGCTAGAGGCGAAAACAGCTCGGGTTACCTTTGCAGACCCTCACAGTACAGACCAGTTCATTCCCAGGCCCTCCCAGTATAGCCCAGTTCAGTCCCAGTCCCGCCCAATATAGTCCAGTTCATCCCCAGTACCGCCCAGTTCATACTCAGGCCCTCCCAGTACAGCCCGGTTCCCCTCAGTCCCTTCCAGTCTCCCCCAGTCCCTCCTCTCCAGTCCAACTCAGTTTCCCCCATCCCTCCGTCCACCCAGGTGACCCTCAGGGTCCCCCAGTATGTCCCATTCCATCCCAGTGTCATTCCTAGCATGTCCCAGTGTCCCCCAGCCCTCCCCAGTGTCCCCCCCAGTCCCTCCCCATTCCCCCAGTGTCCTCCCCAGCACTCCCAGTGTCCCCCAGTACGTCCCAGTCTGTCCCAGTATCATTCACGGCATTCCCAGCATCCGCCAGTATGTCCCAGTTCCCCCAGTGTCTCCCATAGTGTCCCCCAGTATGTCCCGGTCCATACCAGTATCACCTCCAGTATGTCCCAGTATGAACTCCAGAATGTCCCAGCCCTCCCCAGTGCCCCCCTCAGCGTTCTCAGTGTCCTCCAGTCCCCCCCAGTATCACTCCCAGTATGACCCAGTGTCCATCTGAGTCCACCCCTGTCGCTGATAATGTCGGAACGGCCAAAGTAACACGAAAAAAGGTTCCAGCAAAGTTTATTCCAAGGAAAAAGCAGGGACGCCGGGGCTGCTGTGCAGCCCCTTAAGTACAGTTTTTGAACACACGTAATGCACACGGATAGGACAGTTCAAACTTTCACACCAGAATTCTTACAGCTAATAGGTGCATTTTCTAACCTCTACTTTCTCACAACAACTTTGCTCTTTCTCAAAACAGCCCAGTTCTTTCCCACAACAGTCCCGAGCACCTGCTCTTATTTTTCTCTCATGTTGATGTTTTTCCCAACCACTCTCGTTCAAAACAGGTCGTTGTTCTCATGAGACAGTGCTCCTGTTTTCATGAGACAGTGTTCTCTGTTCCCACAGGACAGCTTCTTCAGGGTGCATCAGTATGTTGTCAGGATCAGGGCCTCCATTTTCAGTCCTCTCTTTCAGTCCATCTCAGGGGTATACTTTGATCTGGTCAACATCTATTGCTTCGTCAGTATGTGCCAAGGTGCTGACAGACCCGCTGTCACCCCTGACACACCCCAGTTGCTGCCACAGTCCCTTCCAGTCCGCCAGCCGTGACCACGCCCCCTCAGCATTGGCCACTCCCCTTTAGCAGAGACCACGCCCCTCAGCCGTGGTCACGCCCCCCCGGTTTCGCCCCCCAGGTTTCACCCCCCAGTTTTACCTGTGGCTGCTCTGGGAAGGTGAGTGATCCCCCCAGTCCCTCCTCAGACCTCCTCAGTTACCCTCCAGTCCCTCCCATTTAACCCCTGGTTCCCTACAGCCTGTCCCACTTACCTCCCAGTCCCTCCCAGTTACCCTCCAGTCCCCCCCAGTCTCTTCCAGTCCCCCTGCAGTTGCTCCTAATCCACTTCCAGTTCCCCCCAGTCCCTCCCAGTGCCCCCCAGTGGCTCCCACTCTCCCTCGAGTCCCCTCCTAGTCCGTCCAGTTGTTCCAAGTCCCCCGTAAATTGGGCTTCCAGTAACTCAGTGCCCCCCAATTCCCTCCCAGTCCCCCCCCACTCCCTCACAGTTCCTTCCAATCCCCCCAGTAACCCAGTACCCCCCAATTCCCTCCCAGTCCCCCCCACTCCCTCACAGTTCCTTCCAATCCCCCCAGTAACCCCCCGCCCCTCCCAGTCCCGCCCTGCTCAGGAATCCCAGTGACTCACCTGCCCCTCCCCCACCCGGACGCCCGGGATTCCCGGGGGGGCGCCCCCTCCCCCCCCATTCCCGGTTTTTCGGGAACCCCTGGAATCTTCCCCTCCTCCCCAGGGGTCAAAAATCACGAGATGGAGCGGGAAAGCCTGAGGGTGCTGGTGCTACTGGGAGGTACTGGGAGGGACTGGGGGGAGATTGGGGGAGAACTGGGGGGAACTGGAGGGGACTGGGAGCATTTGAGGAGGAACTGGGATATATATACTGGGAGGGAACTGGGAGGTACTGCGGGAGGACTGGGTAGGGACTGGGAGCAACTGGGAGGGAACTGGGGAGGACTGGGAGGTACTGGGAGTAACCAGGTGGGGAACTGGGTTTATTTGGAACTGGGAGGAACTGGTACCACTGATCCCCCCAAACTGGTTCCCCTCCCCATCCCAGTTCTGTCCATGGCAAGAGGGAACTCCCACCCTGGTGAGTGACTGGGACCAACTGGGAGGGGGGGGGCTGTACTGGGAGTGGGGTGGGGTCATACTGGGAATGGAGAGGGTCATACTGGGAGTGGGGGTGTGGTCCATACTGGGATGGGGGGCCATACTGGTTTATAGTGGTATGGGGAGGTCCATACTGGTATGAGGGGGCCATACTAGGTTATGCTGGGATGTGAGGGATCCATACTGGTTTATACTGGGATGAGGGCTCATACTGGTTTGTACCGGTATGGGAGGCTCATACTGGGTTGAGGGGAGCCCATAATGGTTTATACTGAGATGGAAGGGTCCATAATGGGTCCATACTGGGTTATACTGGGATGGGAGTGCCTACACTGGTTTATACTGGGGTGGGGAAGTCCATACTGGTCCCTCTGACTCTTCCCCTCCCCACAGATGCCAACAATCCCTTCCAGTACGGTGAGTGGGGACCAGTTTGGGGGGACTGGGGGAACTGGGAGGGAATTGGGGAGGACTGGGAAAAAAACTGGGGGTACTGGGAGGGGTAGGGGGCAAATGGAGATGTCCCCAGGCATGTCCCCAGGCGTGTCCCAGGCGTGTCCCAGGTGTGTCCCCCGGTGTGTCCCCCGGTGTGTCCCCAGGTGTGTCCCCCATTGTGTCCCCAGGTGTGTCCCCGGTGAATCCCCAGGTGTGTCCCCAGGTGTGTCCCAGGCTTGTCCGAAGGCGTGTCCTCAGGCGTGTCCCAGATGTGTCCCCAGGTGTTTCCCGAGGTGTTTCCTAGGTGTGTCCCCAGCTGTCCCCAGGTGTGTCCCCAGCTGTGTCCCAGGTGTGACAGGTGTGTCCCTCCAGACTGGCATCACCTGCGCGTGGCTGGGTTGGGCGTGGCCGCCTTCCTGTGTGTCCTGGGCTTCATCGTCCTGCTCAGTGAGTGTCACCTGTGCCAACTGGGGATGTCCTCAGTTTCACCTGGCGGGGGGGGGGGGGGCAGCAATGTTACCTGCGCGGTGTTTGTGTCACCTGGGGGGGCCCCAATGCCACCTGGGAGTCCCTAATGTCACCCGGGGGGTCCCTGTGTCACTTTCTTTGTGTCACCTGTTGTGTCCCCTGACAGGTGGGAAGTGCAAGTGCCGGAGCAAGGCCAGGTGGGACAGGGGAACACTGGGGGGACATTGGGAGGATGGGGGGGACATTGGGGGGACAAGGGGACACTGGGGACACAGAGGTGTCCCTGACCCTGCCCACCCCCCACAGCCACCAACGACACCCCCCTGAGATGTCACACCTGGTTGGGACAGGTGAGTGTCCTCTCCCCCCTGGGGGACATCTGGGGTACTTGGGGACAAGGGGGAGGGCAGTGGGGACAAAGGGGGGACTTCGGGACATCTGGGGGACCTTAGGGACAATGGGGACCCCCCTAATCCCCCCTCTCTTCACAGGAGCCGTCAGCACGTGCTGAGGTGTCCCCAAGTGTCCCCGAGTGTCCCCAAGTGCAGCGACACATGGAGGGGGGAGGAACGGGTTTATTTTGGGGTGGAACCCCCCAAAAACAGCCCAACAAATGGGGAAAATGAATAAAAAAGGTTAAAAAAAAAAAGAGGTAATTTGGTTCTTGGGGGGTGGTGGCACTTGGCGGACATCAGGGGGGACAGGGGACAGTGCTGGGGGGTGGCACGTGGAGGGGACCAGGTGACATGGGTAGATAGTGGCCTCAGGGACATCAGGGGGATGGTGGCACCAGGAGAGGACATCAGCTTGATGGTGGCTTTGGGGACGGTGGGTGGCACATGGAGGGGACACAAGGCCAATGGTGACATTGCAGTGACAGTGGCCTTGGGGACATAGGGTTGGGGATGGCACATGAAGGGAACACAAGGCCAATGGTGACATTGTGGTGACAGGAGCCTTGGGGACACAGGGTTGAGGGTGGCACATGGAGGGAACACAAGGCCAATGGTGACACTGCGGTGACAATGGCCTTGGGGACATAGGGTTGGTGGTGGCACCAGGAGGGGACATTGTGCCAGTGGTGATACTGTGGTGACGGCGGCCTTGGGGACATCGGGGCATTGGTGGCACCAAAAGATGAAATTGGGCCAATGGTGACATCAGGTTGAAGGTGGCTTTGGAGTTGGTGGTGGCACCAGGAGGGGACAGGGGACATCAGGGCCATGGTGACAGCAGGAAGTGACACAAGTTCAGTGGTGACATCAGGCTGATGGTGGCCTTGGGGATATTGTGGCAGTGGTGTCAAAAGGAGGGGACAAGGTGAGGTGGTGGCCTTGGGGACATCAGGGCAGTGATGACACCAGGAGGGAACACGAGGCCAATGGGGTCATCAGGGGGATGGTGGCACCAGGTCCATGATGGTGAGGGGAATGATGTCCCCATGCCCCTCAGGTGACCAGGTCCATGCTCACATGGTGTCCCCCCATCCCTCAAGTGATCAGTCCATGGTGACATGATGGTTGATGTCCCCATGTCCTCTCATGCCTCGAGGTCTATGGTCATGTGCTGGTAGATCTGGGTGGCCCCTTTGAAGCTAGAGGCCACAAGGAAGTGCCATTGGCCAATGGTGACAGGGACAAAGGCGCGGGGGGTGGGCACCAGCAGCTCCTGGGTGGGCTCCAGGTGCCCCTCGGGGCCCAGGCGGAACACGCGGCTCAGGGCAAAGTCGTTGCCCAGCAGGACGTAGCGGTGGCCACTCAAGGTCAGTGGCTGGAAGATCATCGACCCCCGAGCCGGGACCTGCTGGATCTCCCGGAACATGGAGCCCTCCCAGCGCATCACCTGGAAAGGGGGACAGCGGTGGGAGGTGGGTGGGGTGGGAGGTAGGATCATGGGTTGGGTTGGGTTGGGTGGTGGGATCGTGGAAAGGGTTGGGTTGGGTGGTGGGATGATCAGATGGGTGATGGGATCATGGGATGGACTGGGAAGGGTGGTGCGATCATGGGGTGCATTGAGTTGTGTTGGGTTTTATTGGGTTGTGTTGGGTGGTGGAGTCATGGAATGGCTTGGGTTGGGTGGTGGGATCATGGGAAGGGTGGTGGGATCATGGGACGGGTGGTGGAATCGTGGGAAGGAGCGGGCTGGGTGGTGGGATCATGGGATGGATTGGGAAGGGTGATGAGATTGTGGGATGGGTGGTGGGGTCATGGGATGGGTGGTGGGGTCATGGGGAAGACGTGGCACCCCATGACCACACGATGGTGATGGATGCCCACAGACCCATGATCTCAGTGGATCCCCATAACAACATGACCCTGGTGACCCCCATAGCCCCATGACCCTGATGTACCCCCACAGCCACATGAGCCTGGTGACCCCCTATAGCCCCATGACCCTGATGTACCCCTACAACCACATGAGCCAGGTGGACCTCCATGGACTCCTGCTGACCCCACGACTACCCGACCCCGATAACTTCCCATAACCACACAACTCTGGTATCCCCCATGACCCCACGACCTTGCTGGCCCCCCATGGGTCCCTGATGACCCCCATGACCCTGATGACCCCCACAGACCTACAACTTTGATGGTTCCCCATAACCACGTAATGGTGTTGGACCCCAACAGACCCATGATGATGCTGGACCCGCATGACTCTGATGACTCTCGTGACAGTGGTGTCCCCCCATGACCATATGACTTTGTTGATCCCCCATAGCCACATGACTCCTGGTATCCCCCATGGCCTCATGATGTTGCTGGACCGCCATGGACCCCTGATGACCCCCATGACCACATGATTCTGATGGCCCCCCATAACCACACAACCCTGATATCCTCCATGACCCTGGTAACCCTCCATGACCCCTGCCCACCCCTGCCCACTCTCCCGACCCCCCCCACCTTGGCATCCCCCAGGAACCGTGTGAGGCACAGGAATACGTGTCCCCTCAGCCGGAAGTGCTTCGCCGCGTACACGTCGGGTACGTGGGGGATGTCGGTGTGGGGGGTGAAGACCCCCCCGCTCCACCGGTACACGAGGGGTCTCCTGGCTCCTGAACACACCACGAGTGCTGGGCGCCCGCCCAGCTCCAGGAATTCCAGGTGGGTGTCGCGGTGCCACGCCCGGAGGGTCTGGTGGGGGTAGAAGCCGCGCCCACCCCACCGGAACACGGTGCTGGTGCCGCCCTTGGAGCTGTCGGCCACGCCCAGGTACAGGTGGCCCCCGAGACGGGCGGTGGCCACGGCGTGGGGGCGACGCAGCCGCCCCGCTCCGAGGCTCTGGTGGCGAACAAAGGTGGCCCCGGGGCCACCAGAGCGGCGCCAGACCCAGGAACCACCCCGGAGCTGGGCCACCACCACCAAGAGGGACCCACCAAGGGGCAGCGGGTGGCAGGCCACTGGAGAGGAGCCTGTGGGGACAATGGGGACAGTGAGGTTACGGGGAGCAAGGGGTTGGGGATGTTGGGGTGGTGGGGACAAGGCACTGGGGACACTGGGGATTTTGGGGATGTTGAGAACATTGGAGACATCTCTATGGGACATTGGGGACATTGAGGTCTCTGTGGGGACATTGGGGATGTTGGGAACACGGGGACATTGGGGTGGCGGTGACAGGGCTATGGGGACATTGGGATGATGGGGACAAGGCTATGGGGACATTAGGCACACTGGGGACACTGGGAACATTGGGGACACTGTGGATGTTGGGGTGGTGGAGACGTCTCTACAGGGACAGGAGCTGTCCCCAAACTGGGCCACCACCACCAGGAGAGACCCACCAGTGGGTGACAGGCCACTGAGGAGGAGCCTGGGGGGACAGTGAGGACAGTGGGGTTAAAGGGGGAGGGGTGGGGGCAAGGGGTTGAAAACATTGGGGACGTTGGGGACACTGGGAACATTGGGGACACTGGGGACACTGGGAACGTTGGGGACATTGGGGACATTGGGGACACTGGGAACATTGGGGACACTGGGGACACTGGGAACATTGGGGACATTGGGGACATTGGGGACACTGGGAACATTGAGGTGGTGGGGATGTCTCTGTGGGGATGTCTCTATGGGGACACTGAGGACATTGGGGTTGGGGTGGTGGGGACTGGGCTGTGGGGACACTGGGGACACTGGGGTTGGGGTGGTGGTTTTGGTCTCCTCCAGCCCATTTTTGAGGTCTCTCAACCCATTTTTTACATCCCTCACCCCATTTTTCAGGTCCCTCACCCCATTTTTCAGGTGCCTCACCCCATTTTTGTGGTCCGTTACTCCATTTTTGAGGTTCCTCACCCCATTTTTGGGCCCCCCTTGGCTGTTTTCGGGATCACCCCACCCAGGGTGGGTTTTGGGTCCCCCCAGACTCACTGTTGATGATGGTGGGGGCCCGGAACCTCCCAGCCAGTTGGTCCCACTCCAGGAGGGCGCAGGCATCGGCAAAGGGCTGGGCCAGGGCCACCCCCTGGTGCCCCCCTAGCGTGAAAGACTCGGCCCCCAGGGATGAGAAGGGCAGGGACTGGAATGGCCGGAGCTCTGGGAACACAGGGACATTATGGGGACACCATGGGGACAGCCCAATGCCACCCCCAGGGAAATGGGAACATCCTGGGGATACCCCACTGCCACCCCAGGGACATCCTGGGGACACCCCAGAAACACCCCACTGTCACCCCTGGGGATATGGGGACAACCCCAAGGACACTGGACATGAGGACATCCTGGGGACACCTAAAGGAACATGGAGACATCCCAGGGACATCGCAGGGACATGGGGACACCATGGAGACAGCCCAATGCCACCCCCAGTGCCCCCCCCACGTGAAGGAATTGGCCCCCAGAGATGAGAAGGGCAGGGACTGGAACAGGCAGCGCTCAGGACATGGGGACACTCTGGGGGCAGCATGGGGACATCGTGGGGACAGCCTAGGCACAGTTCTGGGGGCATGGGGACACACTGGGGACACCCCCTGCCATCCCCAGGGACATGGGGACAGCCTTGGAACACTCCTGGGGACATGGGGACACCCTGGAGGACAAACCCCATGCCACCCCCCAGGGACACAGGGACACCATGAGGACACCCCAGAGACATGCCCAGGGACATGGGGACACCATGGGGACACCCCAGAGACATCTCCAGGGATGTGGGGACATCCCATGGACATTCCAAGGACATGAGGACACCTCAGGGACACCCTCAGGGACACTATGGAGACCTTTGGGGGACACTTTGGGGATACTTTGCTACCACCTCTGGGGACACCAAGGGGACACTCTGGTTCCTTGGGGACACTTTGGAGGCTCTTGGGGCACCTCAAGGACACTCTGGGGACACTGGGGATACTTTAGGGACATTGGGGTCCATAGGTGTGTTTGTACTCCCAGCCCCGGGTGCCCAGTCTCCCCAAGTCCCTCCCAGTCCCCGCCAATCTCCTCCCAAACCCTTCTCAGTCCCTCCCAGTGCTCCCAGTTCCCACCTGCCCGCTGGCACTGGAAGTCCTGGGGGTCCAGGTGGGCAAGGGGGGTCCCTTGGTGGGGGGAGGGGCTGCGGCAGCGCCCAGCAGTCTCAGGGGAGGAGGGGACTGTCCCCAGCCACGACAGGAGCCACCGCAGGCGACAATCACAGCGGAACGGGTTCCCCCGCA